TGACAAGCAAAGTTAATTTTGGTCTTGGAATTAAAAAAAGGACTCTACTGACGAGCAAATTATAGAAAGACATAGAAGATTACCAATTACCATCCTCGATGATAAAGAAAGGATTCTACTGACGAGCAAATTTCCAAATGATCAAGAAAGGACTCTACTGACGAGCAAATTCCTAGATAATAAGGAAAGAACTCTACTGATGAGCAAATTCCCAGATGATAAGGAAAGGACTTTATTGACGAACGAATTCCTAGATGGCAAAGAAAGAACTCTACTGACGAGCAAATTTAAATTCGATCATGTAGATAAAAAGGGACTCTTTTGATCTAGAATCTAAAAAGAGATTCTACTGACGAGCAAATTGGATTTTAAACTAAAAAATAAAAAATGAACGACTGATGAACAAATTAAATTCTAAACTAAACATAAAAATGAATTCTACTGACAAGCAAACTAAATTTTAAACTTAAAAATAAAAATGGGACTCTACTGACGAGCAAACTTGATTTCGAAAAGAACTCTACTTATACACGTATATATTGTTCTTATATCATTTATTCAAATTCATCAGATTCAACTTTTTTATATTTTATATTTATATAAATTTTATCTAAGAATTAAACCCAGGCGTAAATTTACATGCTATAGATGGTGGCGCAACCTATGGAGAGCGGAAACAATTAAAATTTCATATTTTTATACTTTTTTTATCTATGTATTTTCAAAATAAAGCTTTTACTACAATCTAATTATTTCTGCCATCATTATCCAAATAGCTTTCATTGATTTTGTCAACTGACATAAAAGTGACATAATAATGGAATCTAATTACTATTGTGTCCGAATTTGGGTCAAATCGTTTTTTGAATGACTCAATTAACAATTGATTGATGGATTGATTGATTGATTATTCAATTTATTGTGTAAAGTCACGAAATTGGATTTAAAAAAAAAACGACGCAGAGATTTTTGTGAAACGCTCCCAATAAATGAAAAAATAAAACTATTCAGAATAGATAAATAGACAGATAATATTTTGGGTCGATAAAAAGACAAATATTTATTCCTGCCAAATTTATAAAATGGCTTCGCACTAGGATTTGTCGTTTTTTTAAAACCGGTTTTAAAAACCGTTTTTTGGCAAAAATTATGGAATTCGAAAACCGGTTTTTAAGTTAAACAAGTCGGTTTTCACTGTATAAATGGTAAATAACAAATATAGCCAAATATAGAAGATAGATGAAAGCGTTTTGATTCTTGAAATCATATCGTTTCAATAGTCTTTCATATCTTATTAGTCTGCAATTGTTTCCAGAAAGGTTTTGTATATATTAATTTAGATTTTTATACTAGTGTATATATTAATTTAAATCAGCATGACTTCTTGAAGAAGTAATTTCTTCTGCTAAAACTTAAAAAAAGAGTTTTAAAACTTAGAAGCCACAAATAAAAGAACAAAAAACTTAGAATTATTATATCAGGCTTTAAAAACAATTAAGCGTAATTTGGTCGCAAGTATGAGAGTGTTTTCTATTTCAGGCAATTTTGTTAGTAAACAAAGAACTCGTCTCAGTAGCAATTCGATAGACGTTCTCAGTTTTTTGAAATCACATTTTATTAAACAAAAAAACAATTAGAATGTTTAAAATTAATTAATTAAAATTGTTCGGAACAGACAATACCCGAGTTTAGCATAATTGTTTTTAAAACTAGAATTGATATTAACAAGTATGTGTCAACATGAATCTAATATTTTTTTATTTATATTTTTTTTTCAATGAATTTTTTTATTTAAAAATAAATAATTTTTATTTATTCAGAAAACTTTTCTTTCACTATCATAAAAATATCTTCATTCTTATTATGTGAAAATGATGCATGAATAACGAATAATTATTCTCAAAGTTATTTAATCAAGATAAACTATTATTTGTTAGTTCCACTAATTGAATTTGAAAAAATTTCGTTTACTATCTATAAAATCGAACAATAAATAAATTCAGTCAAACACTGGTCTAAATCACACTAAATTTGCGGATAAATTACAGAATATTCGAGCAAAAATTTATTTTCTATATAAAATTCGAAAACCGGTTAGAACCGGTTTTTAAGTAAAATTAAAATCCAAAAACCGGTTTTCTGAAATGTCGGTTTTTGTATAAACCCTACTTCGCACTTAATTACAAAATGCTCTAACTAAATTTTTAATTATACGTCTATTTTTTCCTAAGGTATTTTGGTCTCCAAGTTCTTCCCAAACACAATCAGGAGACCAGACAGATAGAAAAGACAAGGAACCAAGTCCACCAATAGCACCAATTTGGACACCAAGGAGCGCCCAGGCAAGCCCAGTCGTCGAAAGGAAAGAATTTAGGCCAGTCAGTTTTGAAAGTCCGACACTGCCCAGGCGAAAAACCGAAGTAAGGGAATAATAAATAAAATAGCAGTGACGGATTAAGCTTTCTGCCGCCCTAGGTTCTATCTGATGAGGCACCCTTTTCAATAGAATTTTTTTTTTACTTTTTTAATTAAACTATAATTTTATTCTAAACCCGACAGACGTTGTCCTGTACCTATGTCTACAATTTTTTAATATAATATACCAATATTTATCGTTTACCTAAAAATAATAATTATTGTTTTTTAAATTACTCTTCACGCCAAAATTGTATATATATATAATAGGTTGTCAAATATCTCCCTTCCGCCTTTTTGTATTACAAACCAAGAGCAAAAAAGCGGAAGGGAGATATTTGACAACCTAATATTTATAATATGAGCCATGTTGAATGTAGAACTGCTTTAAATAAAATGAGTCTCAATTCCCACACTATATTGGAAATTGAAGTCTTTTAAACGGTATTACATAACCATAACCACAACATAATACTGGTACTTCATGTTGGATTAAATTATTTTAATTTTTTATTATTTAAGATATCCAAAATTGCATCTTAAACTTCTCCTAATCGATATTGCGAGGGCTGAAATGTATATATTCATCTTTACTTTCCCATTTGTTGTTATAAAGTGAAATTTTTACGAATTTTAAAAATATGTGAAAAGATTAGTGAAAGTTGCAAAAAATTGTATATTGAGAAAAATCTATATTGAAAATTTAATATCCGAATCTTGTGTTGGCGCCCCCTAAGGCGTGCGCTCCTATTTTTCGCATGCATCGCATTAAAGGTAGGACCGGCCCTGATTAATACTTAAATTCATATTTTAAGTGAATTAATTTGTCATATCCTGTTCATATGTGTTTCATTGAATCTTCTATACATATACTGTATTTCATATTATTTTAATTTCTGGCACATCTCAGCTGCTTTTTGGCAATAATAATGCACACATTTCAATTTTCTTATTCATAATCATAAATTTATTATACATATTCTAATATTGTCTAGATTCATAAGTGAATTGAAATTTTTGGCAGATGATAGTTTTCATTTGTTTCAAAGCAAACAATGACATGTCGTTTTTTGCAATTTTTGCCATTTATTTCTACAATATTGCACATAAATCCCAGTACTTTATAATCACATACATCCTAGAAAATTTCCTTAACAAACTTCAGAAAGATTTATCAAAATCCGAATAATCGTCTAGGAGGAGTTTACAGCGAGTGCTTATAATTTAATATGAACTTTATATAATGGCAATAAAGGTCAAAATCTGATTTTTTATCATTTTAGACTCCACAAACAACTCCGACAGCTCAACCGCCTTGGCAAAACGGAGCTACACCTACTACAGCTCCTACTGCTCCTACTTTTACTACAACTCCTTCGTCCCCAATAGCCCTTCCAGCCCCTCCTCCGCCGCCACTGCCTGCTCCACCAAGTCTGAGTGACAATTTAAATGCTGCCATAGACACCAGGAAACTCACCAGCTCCTGGTCTGCTCCTGTTGACCTCCAAGATCAGGACAACAAGGCTCCGTTCACGTTCCAGGAGAAAAAGGACTTTTTTTCGAGTGTTGGAACTGGCGGGCGGAGATAATCTACAGGTGATAATAGATAGTAACTAGTGGTGTATGGCATCGTGGCTTAAGGCAAATTGCTAGAACTTCCCGTACCGTAATGAAATATTCGAGAAATTTTAAACGCTTTCAAATATATTATTACAAATACTGTAACTTTAATTATTTTTGCTATCTTGTTATATCTGAGTAAATCAAATGTAAATCATAAATCAACTTATCTCCAGAACAATAACAATCGTCATTTCATTTCGAATTCAATTTCAAAATTAATAGTTGCTAATTTACACAAAAGTGAAAAAGTGTTTCCGCATAGTCACAGTCTAAACGCATTTGCAAATAATTCTGTGCGACATTTCCACTTATACTGTGCTTAGCTTGGTGGCGTTTATAAGAACTAAAATGATTGTTGTTAAATTTAGGAGGCTACATTTTAATATATCTTGTTTTATACTTTTGGACCGGTTCGATTTTCATTTATTTGTTTATAACTACTAAACAAATTGTCCGATTGTTTTGCATTATCCAGCAAATTTTTAGCCAATTAAATTATCTACAACTTTTGTTAATAACAAAATGTTGTATCTCATATCCTTTTACCCAAAATTTGCAATGAAACAGGTTGTTGTTAAATTTTGGAGGTTGCATCAGTATATCTTGCCTCATACTTTTGGACCAGTTCGATTTTTATTTATTTATTTATAACTTCAAAACGAAATGTCCCACCATTTTGCAATATTCAGCAAATTTATAGCCAATTAAATTATCTATAACTTTTATTAACAACAAAAATTGGTATCTCTTGTCCTTTTATCAAAAATTTACGTTTAAAAAGGTAGTTGCTAAATTTTGGTGGTCACATCGTACACATATATCTTACTCTGTCACTCTACACTGTCAGGTATATGTTGCTCTTTTTCGCACTAGTGTTTTATATATATATATATATATATATATATATATATATATAATATATATATATATCTCTGATTTTCTCACTATATACTGTTGTCTCTTTTACGTTTATTCAAAACAGACTCTATATCACATCGCGACTTAAGAAGTTTTACTTCAAAAATAAAATTCTATTTTACTAATTTATACATCTTTATCCCCAGAACATTAACAATCGTCATTTCATTTCGAATTCAATTTCAAAAAAAAAAAATAGTTTCCTAATTTACACAAAATTGAAAAAGTGCTCCCTTACAGTCACAGTCTAAACGCACTTGCAAATAATTCTGTGCGACATTTTCACTTATACTGTGCTTAGCTTGTCTGCATTTTCACATTTTTCAATAGTTTTCACAAAATTGGAAAAGTGCTCCAGTACATAAACAGTCTAAACGCACTTGGGTGAACATTTGTACCAGAGTGGCGCTTAGACTGTGCTTAGCCTGGGAAGTTTTTTGAATTTTTAATCCAAAATTACAAAAATATTTTATGGAAAATAAAAAAAAATGTAATAATTTTTTATCATCAAAAGCAATTGTTTTGTCAATACAAGCAGAAAGTTTTTTAGATCATTCAAATCGCACGCTTAGTTCACTCAAAAACTGCCATTTTTTGCACATTTAGCTCTGTGTCTTCGAAATGACGGGACCTGTCTTTGCCAAAAATAATCACCTCTTCTCCCAATCATTACTAATTGAATGTTTTTTAGATCATTCAAATCCGATACTCCGTTCTCTCAAAACTCGATTTGTATTTTCTGCACTCTTTGCTCCGTATCTCCGTAACGGCTGGACCTGCCTTTGCCAAAAAATAATCAGCACATCTCCCTATCAATAGGGATCGAATGCTTCTTGAACCATTGAAATCGGTTAATTCGTGCGCCCGAAAACGTGGACGAAAAAATGCGTACATACAAAACACACACGCACACCCACATAATATATAACCTTTTGTGAAAACTATTGAAAAAATGTGAAAATGCCGCCAAGCTGAGCACAGTATGAGTGAAAATGTCGCACAGAATTATTTGTAAATGCGTTTAGACTGTGACTATACGGGAGCACTGTTTTAATTTTGTGTAAATTAGGCAACTATTTTTTTTTTAAATTGAATTCGAAATGAAATGACGATTGTTAATGTTCCGGTGATAAATTGATTTATGATTTAATCAGATATAACAAACAAGATAGCAAAAATAATGAAAGGTACAGTATTTGTAATAATAAATTTGAAGACGTTTAAAATTTCTCGAATATTTCATTCCGGTACGGGAAGTTCCAGCAATTTGCCTTAAGGCACGATGCCATGCGCCCCACTAGTTTTTTTTATAAAAAGTGATGTCAATGTGATTTTTCAGGAAAAGAAAACTGGTTTATTTACATCCTCAAGTGGAAGCAATTTGCAGGACAAGAAAAACTTGTTTTCCTCCTCCAGTGGAAGCAATTTGGACAAAACTTTCAAAAGTTTTTCTTCAGGAAGTGGTGCGGGTTTAGCAGGTCTTGCTGGTTCAACACCAGTTAGTGAAAGTAAGTAACACATTTATCCACACTATATTTGGACATATTTTTAGACAGCAATTTTGTTTTTAGGTTCCTATTCCAAGTTTCCTGGTTCTGTCGAAAAAGAACTTTTTACAAAGAAAAGTGAAGAATTTTCTAAAGTCATCAAAGAGTACAAAAGCACTTCCAGAAATTCTGAGTTGCTATCAGAAGAGAAACGCGAAGAACGATATTCCAGGTAATTTGGATCTAAAAAACTTTCTGCTTGTATTTATTGATTTATTTATTTATTTTACAAGCCGTCGGTATAATAATATTACAATAAGGCTTAAGTCAATATTTTATAGGTTTAATATAATTTAATTAATTATTAGCTATTTTATTACTTATGTATTTTTTAATTTATTTACTATAAACTTCTTTATATTTAATTAATTTTAAGTATTTTTAAATATAACTAGTTTGTTTATTGCAAGTATTTTTTAAAAATTTAATAAGTATTTTAATAAGCGTTACAATACTTTTACAATATAATTATTTTATTTGACAAATTTTAGGTTATTTTATGATATTTTAACAAATTTAAGTGTCTTATATTATTGTTATTATTATTATTATAATCATTATTATTATTATTATTATTATTATTATTATCAATATTACCATTATCATTATTATTATTAAGTATTTTTACAATAGAAGTATTTTCTTTTACAAATTTTTAGGTTATTTATTGAAGGAAATATTTTGTTTCACATTTTTTTAAGTGTTTTTGAAATATAAGTTGTTGGTTAACCAATTATTAAGTATTTTAACAATAACAGTCATATAAAAATAATTAAAACAAAAAATGTTGCACAATTTTTAAGTGTTTTTAAATTATAAGTTTTTTGTTTACTAATTATTAAAAATTTTAACAATAACAGTCATATAAAAATAATTAAAAAAAAAAAAGTTTCACAATTTTTGATTGTTTTTAAATTATAAGTTTTTAGTTAACTAATTATTAAGTATTTTAACAATAACAGTCATATAAAAAAAAGAAAAAAAAAACAAACAAAGAAATAATAATAATAATAATAATAGTAATTTAGAAGTATTTTTGCAACAAAAGTATTCACTTTAACGAACGAATTATGTTGTCACGAGCATGTATTGACAAAACAATTGCTTTTGAGGATAAAAAATTATTACATCTTTTTTTATTTTCCATAAAATATTTTTGCAATTTTGGATAAAAAATTCGAGAAAAAATTAGCCACCCTAAGCACAGTCTAAGAGCCACTCTAGTACAAATATTTACCCAAGTGCGTTTAGACTGTTTATGTACTGGAAAACTTTTCCAATTTTGTGAAAACTATTGAAAAATGTGAAAATGCCGCCAAGCCTAAGCACAGTATAAGTGAAAATGTTACACAGAATTATTTGCAAATGCGTTTAGACTGTGACCATACGGGAGCACTTTTTCAATTTTGTGCAAATTCGGCAACTATTTTTTTAAATTGAATTTGAAATGAAATGACGATCGCGCAACAATTAACTTAACCCCTTCGCTTACCAGCTAATATCCAAATTTACGGGCCAAAAACGACACTAAGGTCGGCCGCACGCAGTGGCATAAACAACTTGGCTCGGCGTTCGAAACTGTACAAATCATAAAATTCCTGTAGTTTGTATATACACGTGCTCGGTACAATTAACTTTACAAGATGTTTGATAAATAATTACATTTATTCTTAAATAAAACTGAAAATTGATTATTACAAATACAATTGTAATTATAAATTTATATATTTGTGCGAAAAGTATGTCACTACCACTGTCAGTACTACTGGTAGCAGGTCATCACTGCTATGTAATTCATCACTAATTTTTTCTTGAAGACATTATAGTGTGTATTTTTTTTAAAACTTCTTACAAACCATGTATGTATATGCTTCACCAAGTTTCGGAAATGTATTATTTATGTTTCGTCCGGTAGACTTGCGACGACTCTAAGGCGTCCTGTTCGTGTTTGGACCGATAACCTTGCGACGACTCTGAGGCGTCATATTTGTGTTTGGGCCGATAATCTTTGGACGCCTCTGAGGCGTCTTTGTAAGCGAAGGGGTTAATAATAAATATACAAAACTTTTAATTGAATTGCGGACTACCTAAATGTTAATATTAAGAGCTAAAACTTTTAGACAATTTTTTTTATTACTTTAGAAGCATTTGAGTCCTTGGGAGCAAGGAAATTCGAAAATGTCCATATTAAGGACCACCCTAATATATTTATAATTCTTAGGCAGCTTTTATACAAATGTAAATAGTACAAACTACAAACTACAAAATATTTAAGATCATTAAATGAATCACATAATTGTATAATTAAAAACTGCATTTTAACATAAAAATTGTTATAATTTTTTTTATAAATAATAATTATTATTATTATCCTGAAATTGTTTGACAATTTCCATACATGATGCTACTAAATCATACTGAATACTGTCAGAATGTCATGTATTTGCTGTTCATTCAGGCGTTTTACACATAAACTGCAACGTCACTCGTATGTTATGAAGCTGAGTCAGAAAGACCATGTTATCTAACAGTTTTTTGACATTTGTGCGGTATCTAGGTTAGGTTTTCTAAGCACAGTATTAGTGAAAATGACGCACAGAATTATTCGCAAATGCGTTTAGACTGTGACTATAAGGGAGCACTTTTTCAATTTTGTGTAAATTAGGCAACTATTTTTTTGTAATTGAATTCGAAATGAAATGACGATTGTTAATGTTCTGGAGATAAATTGACATATGATTTATATTTGATTTGCTCAGATATAACAAGATAGCAAAAATAATGAAAGTTACAGTATTTGTAATAATATATTTGAAAACGTTTAAAATTTCTCGAATATTTCATTACGGTACGGGAAGTTCCAGCAATTTGCCTTAAGGCACGATGCCATACACCACTAGTTTCAATCTAATTTCTATTTTTTTTTTCAGTTCAAGTGGAGATCCGATTCCAGTAAGACCAGTTATAGATCCAGTTGGATCTTTTGGGGAAGTTCTAGCTTCTACCGGAACCGGAGCAACAAAATTCGGCACAGATACTGGATTTTCCGGTACGACAACCGGAATTTCAACCAGCACCAGTACAAATTCAACAACCAATAACGTCAGTGCAAAATTGCCCAGAGTACAAAATCCGACGATTACTTTGTTGCAGAAGGCAAGAGGTAAGTTAATAGACAAAAATATATTAAGGTGGTCCTTAATATGGATATTTTTGAATTTCTTTGCTCCCAAGGGCTCAAACTCTTCCAAAGTAATAAATAAAAATTCTGTAAAAGTTTTAGTTCTTAATATTAACATTTAGATAGTCCGCAATTCAATTAAAAGTTTTGTAAATTTATTATTAAGTAAATTCTTGCGCCATCTGTGATAGCATTTGCAAACTCAAATATTATGACACTTCGGAATATTCATAAAACACTTAACCTCTAATTAAATCCATGTGTACTGTTTAACGAAATATTTATTCAAGATTAATTTTGCATCAAAATATTTATTTAATTGGTGATTTTGACGCTCAAATCAGCAGTAATAAATTGCTATCAAAATTACAAGCTTTCTATCACAGATGGCGCAAGAATTTACTTAATGATATATGTTAATAGTAAATATACGAAACTTTTAATTGAATTGCGGACTATCTAAATGTTGATATTGAGAGATAAAACTTTTAGAGAATTTGTTTTTATTAATTTGGAAGCGTTTGAGCCCTTGGGAGCAAAAAAATTTGACAATATTCATATTGAGGACCACATTATATATATATATATATATATATATATATATATTATTAAATTTAAATGAAATTTAAATAAAAATATAAAATCGTCAAATTAAAATCCAATGTCATGTTTTGTAAGCAATTTTATAAATAACAATCTATAACTGTATAATTAAATTATCCTGCACGATTTTCTTAATTGTTATTCATAAATGTGATCTATTGATATATATGTTTATGAATGTTTTTATAGTTTAAACAATTATTTGTGAATCTGAAGATTTTCATCAAAACTTTAGATTAAAAGTTTTAGATCGAACTCAGGATTCCAATTTTTTTAGAAAAACGTTTTCAAAATTTACTTTTTAAATGATAGAATAGATGTTCGAGGCAATTTAGCCCTTAAATAGACCAGTATTATAGCAAGGCTATGTTACGTTGCGTTTTTTTCATATAAAATGGTACTAAAAACTGACAAAAATCTATATGGTTGCTGTGCAGTCAGGTGTTTTAGATGAAAAAGCTAACCTAGAAAACGTTCAAATGTCAAACAAGTAATCTTATCATAAGTGCTTCTTTGTGATGTGCTATAATAACATATGAGTGAAGTTAAATTTTATGTGTAAAACAGCAACTACATAGTATGTTGACAGTTTTTAGTACTATTTTATATGTTAATGGTTTATTTTACTGCAGAATCAACCCCTAAGTGTCAGGAAATGCCAAATAGTGATTTTGTTTTAATTTATATTTAAAACAATTCAAAGCGCTTTCCAAACAGTATAAGTCTATGGTAGAAACTATTGTGCCGATTCGGCCGCTAGACCAATATTAAGGCTACTGAATCATACTGAATACTGTCAAAATGTCATGTATTTGCTGTGCATTCAGGCGTTTTACACATAAACTGCAACGTCACTCGTATGTTATGAAGCTGAGTCAGAAAGACCCTGTTATCTAACATCTGTTATCAACCTGAGAAACACGCCTGACAGCACAGCAACCATATGGCTTAGTTAAAATTTAGAACGAATTAGTATGGAGAGTTCTTCTATTTACATCAATGTGCAACAATGTTGTATATTTAGCATTTTGTTGTAGTATATCTGTCTCTTACAATATACTCTAAACATGATACAAATCTTAACACAATCCCAACAGTATTTATTTGAATTGCTTAAAACTTTACCTTAAAAATTTTACAAAATGGTTTTTATTATTTTTTAAGCAGAAGGGCAGTTGCCCAAGGGCGCGAGTTATTTGGAAGAGACCTCAAAAATTCCAAAAGAACAAAGTCCGGGTGGCTTGTCGCCCGGAGAAATTAGTGAGTTTCTAATTTCTAATATTTTTAATTGCAATAACGACAATTATTAATAAATTTTATTTTAGTTAGTTTAGTTTTTTAACATTTCTCATTTACACTAACAAAACATAACTTCATACTCTCATCATAACTGTCTGATGTTGCATGGATAAAAAAAAATCTTTGCATGATTTAGGAAATATTGAAATAGATTTTTATATTAAGTCATTGATTTATATTTTATTGAAATATTAAAACATTTTTTATCTGCGTATTTGCTTGATATTATATAATAATAAAAATTGGTAAATTAATTTGCATTTACAGGATATTTAAAGTCGTGCTATGCTATGTTATTTAATTCATTATTGTCATAATTTTTTGTTATGATTAACTTGAATTAAATTTATTTTGTTTAACTAGATTCGCCTTGTCATATTATTAACTGATTTATTACTAAATTTATTTATTATTTATCATTTTTTTCCATTTTCTCAGCAGTCTATTCCCTGAAGAAAGAATATACAGAACCTGTGCCTGAACCTAAGGTCAAAAAGATGGCCGATTTAGGCCCTAGGAAATTCGAAGGGATTGGCCCTACGACCAAGGATGGAATGCCAATTGTACTTAGATCTGTAAGTAATAACTGGATAATAAAATACAAATTAAATTATAAAAAATCAAATTGTTATTTTTTAAAGTGTTTTGAACCTTTTTTCAAAATTTTGATTTCGAAAAATAATTAATAATAGATGTCATTCTCATTTAAATGTTTTACTAAAAAACCCTTTTAGATGTTGTATATAAATTAAATCTTAAATATAATTTTCGCATTTTTTTTTTCAAATCAAAACAAAACATAACTAATTAATAAAGCTTGTATGTTATATATATATATATATATATATATATATATATATATATATATACGAGGTCTGTTCAAAAAGTTTTCGTAATTTTCGTTTTTTCAAAAAAATATTTATTTATTCGTCTACATTAATGTGGTCCCCTTCAAAGTAGTCCGCCCCAGATATAATACACTTATGCCAGCGTTTTTTCCAATTTTCGAAGCACCCTTGATATTCACTTTTTGATATGTCCTTGAGCACTCTCAGCGATTTTCTTCAATCGAGGAAAACCGCCGTCCTTTCATGGGTCTCTTCAACTTTGGGAATAGGAAAAAGTCACACGGAGCCATATCTGGTGAATTTTTGCACTTTGCAACACTTTATTTCATTTTTTACGCAAAATTTAATACAAATTCTTTGACTTTTTCAATTCTTCCATTGTAAAAATCGCCGAGCTCAGAAAAACACGTCGAACCTTAGCGACTACCACAGACAAAGTAAACAGTGAATATAGCTGAAAATTTCATCATACTTTAGGGGCATGTATACCAACACAATAAAAAAAATTTTGACAATCAGACACTCCAGACCCGCGAAATTTAATTATTAGTAATTCCGGGTACTTTTTGAACAGACCATGTATATATGTATATGTATATATATATATATATATATATATATTATCATTTACTGACAAAAATTTCACTTACTAACTCAATTAACATTTTTGTTTTATCCAAATTTCATGCTTTCTGATGAACAGTTATTAGAGGTAAGTTTAACAAATTTAATTAATATTAAAACCATATTTTTTTATCAATTATTTAACATTTTATGCTTATTAATTCTCTGATAAAATACACCGTAACATATCGTTGTTATGGCAACGTAATTTATAATAAAATGGCGAATTTGTATTAAAATGGCGAAGTGCTATAGTGTTTGCTGTGCATTCAGGCGTTGTTATAGCAATGCATTATTTTACGGTGTATTTTATAGGAGAATTTGTCTCTAAGTTTGTAATTAATTTTGTTTTCTATTAAGAATTATGTTTTTAATGTATTAATTTTATTTTTTTATTTTTAGGAAGTGAAAGAAAACAATCAAGCGAAATGGTACAAACGAATGTACGACACGATACACAAAAGTCCGAACGATGGTAAGATTTTTATTTTATTTTTTAATTAAAAACTTAGTTTATTTAACAAACTAGATCATAAATGTGGAATTTATATTCGAGTTCGATTAAATTGAATATATATATTAATTAATCAAAAATTAAATAATATTTTAATTTATATGAATCATCATCGTCTTGATCAGAATTAATATTAATATTATTAATTAATTATCAAAATTAATACTTAGTAATTTATATGTACAGTGGGTTCTAATTTTGTCATATTTTTTATTTAGTCTTGTTAATATATTTCTTAACGAGCATTTATAATGAAAATATCAAATGATGAGAATTTCAGACATGCATTGATAAAATATACATCTGGTTTTAAACATAATTTATTATTTTTTGAAAATTCGATAACTATTTAGTATTTAGTATATGTGTATATCATTTTTTTATTGCATCAACATGAAATAACATACAAATTTTAGGTTAATTTGAAACTCATTGATTTATTGTATTAATTAGACTTTTTTCATATTAGTGTTTAATTTAACATAAAACTAATTATATTTTTTTCAGATTTTGTCACAGTACGATACAAAACTCGAAGAGGTGAAAATTATATACATATTTTTTGTTTGTTTGATGCTTTTTAATTCTGCAGCTTTTTTCTTTAATTATTCTGCTAAAAATCCTTTTTGAACTATTAATTCCGATTAATTTTTATTTACTTAAGCATTATAATTTTCACAAAATAAATAATATTTTTTTTATATAGCTTATGGTCAGCTTTCAAGAAAAGTTCAACTACATAAAGAATTGTTTTGTTCTTTTTTGTTTGAGGCCTGAATTTTAATCAAAAATTTTTTGAAAACCAAACTTGTGACTTGTCTTTTTTTTAGTTTACCTTTTATTTTATAACTTTTGTAGTTCTATTTTTTGCACGCAATTTTTTTACTAATAAATATTTTGACACAGATTTTCTATCTTCACAATTCTGCACTGGTGATTGGTTTCTTCTGCACTACTTCATAAAATATTTTTACTATTAGTAAATTTATGTGAGACTTGCTGTAATATAAAATTAACTTTAATGACAAAAATTAAAATTTATTATCTTGAATGAATACAACAGAACAAACAACTCTTTTTGTGACATAATTTTTGTATTTTAATACTGAATTTCTTCTAAATTTTCTATTATAGCAAGGCGACTAAAACTCTTCTAGAAACTTCATGAAATTTTATACAAGAGGCTGTATTTAATAATTTTAGCTCCATCATTTTCAGTCATTTTTCTAAATTATAAACTGTACCTAGATTTTACACATATTTTATTTCAAATTTTCCAAAGTTGTTTCTAGTTTAAAAAAATTCTTTGGAACGACTTTATTAGTAATCATTTCATTAGCTGGAAAATTTTATAAGCATTGGAATCTTATAAAAATTCATGCAAGTTTCACTTTCCCAGCTACTTCTATTACTATTACTATTACTATTATATTACCATCTAACATTTATCTTCTTTCTATTACCATTATCACCACAAAATCATCATCATCATCAAAATTTACAAAATCGTGATAAAACGGAGTAGTTCTGTGGCCGCCCGCAGGTCGCTACCCGCACTACTCGTCCTGCTCCAGGCCTGGTTCGAGTCTCGGGAGATCAGTTGCAGGAGCAGAACAAAGAGGTCAGGCCAACGGTTATGCGAGCGAACCCGAACCTGCTCTCGGTTACGATTCGGATTATTACGAGGACAGAGGCGGAGCAGGGTTCAGGAGCAGCAGTCGGACTGATAGCAGATATGAACAAAGTAAGGGAAAAAATAATAATTAGAAAAATAATTAAATTAATCAATAAGAAGTGATATTTGTTTGTATTTTTTTATTTTGTGCTCATATGTATTCAAACTAGTGGTGTATGGCATCGTGCCTCAAGGCAAATTGCTGCAACTTCCCGTACCGTAATGAAATATTCGAGAATTTTGAAACTGTTTCAAATATATTATTACAAATACTGTAACTTTCATTATTTTTGCTATTTTGTTACATCTGAGCAAATCAAATGTAAATCATAAATCATAAATCAATTTATCTCCAGAACATTAACAATCGTCATTTCATTTCGAATTCAATTTCAAAAAAATAGTTTAGTTGCCTAATTTGCACAAAATTGAAAAAGTGCTCCCGTACAGTCACAGTCTAAACGCATTTTCAAATAATTCCGTGCGACATTTTTGCTTGTACTGTGCTCAGCTTGGCGGCATTTTCACATTTTTCAATAGTTTTCACCAAAATTGGAAAATTGCTCCAGTACATAAGCAGTCTAAACGCACTTGGCTAAACATTTGTACCAGAGTGGCGCTTAGACTGTGCTTAGCATGGGTGATTTTTTGAATTTTTAAGCCAAAATTACAAAAATATTTTATAGTATAAAGATGTTATAATTTTTTATCTTCAAAAGCAAATGTTTTGTCAATACAAGCAGACACTTTTTTAGATCATTCAAATCGGACGCTTATTTCACTCAAAAACTGCCATTTTTTGCACATTTAGCTCTATATCTTCGAAATGGCGCGACCTGTCTTTGCTAAAAACTAATAAACCTCTTCTCCCAATCATTACAAATTGAATGTTTTTTTTTTAGATCATTCAAATCCGATACTTCGTTCTCTCAAAAACACGATTTGAATTTTCTGCATTTTTTGCTCCGTATCTCCGTAACGGTTGGACCTGCCTTTGCCAAAAACTAATCAGCACATGTCCCTGTCAATAGGTATCGAATGTTTTTTAAACCCTTCAAATCGGTCAATCCGTGCGCCCAAAAACGTGGACGAAAAAATGCGGACATACAAAACACACACACACATCCATTTAGTTTCTGAGGTATGCCAGTAAAATGTTCAGAAACCTTCAAATCGTCGAGAAATGCAAAAAATTTCATTTTCGATTTTGGCCCATTACTATAACTACCCTACGGGAAGTTATATAGTTGTTGCCTTAAGGCAATTTGCAGGAGTAAATAATTAACTTAATCAATAAGAAGTGATTTGTTTGTATTTATCTTCTTTCTACTTCATTCTGAAAATTGGTGAACTATACTAAATTCCATACAAATATTGTATTTCCCAAGATATTTTACATAGTACGTTTGATGAAATCTCGTTATGGAAATTAGTATAAATACTTGTTTCCATACAAAATTTGAATTTCGACAGATATTCTTCATAGTGTGCGCGTGGAAATCTATGTTGGGAAACTAGTATAGTAGCGTTCAGTACTATATAAAAAATGATCTACGATTTATCGATGACCAAGAATTGAGATTTTTTAGAGAAAGAAATGAATGTAAGCATCTCAGACTAGGTCTTTTGTCTGAGTATATCGGACTCAATTTTCTGGTTCTCATAGAAACTGCCGTTAGGCATTACTTTGTGGGGGAGGATCTAGAATACTACGATTCTAGCACTGAAATTATACATATTTTTTCAATACCAAGAATGTGGTGTGAGTGGAAATTTGTCGTAAGGCAAGTTGCATATACACTTTTTTCTTGAATTTGGTCTCATTCGATTCAGAATGACGTGAAACGTCGAGAAAACATAAAACTACCAGAAAGGATTTTTTGCTAAAAACATATTTTCAGTTGTTTTTTTATTTATAACTCAATATTGTTTTTAATATGTCGTAAAAAAATCTAACACGTCATTTCTTTAATGTTTTGTGCTTTTAAATTATTTTTGGGCTAAAATTATACCAAAAAATGATTCGGATTTATAAAAAATTCATTAGAAACAAATTTAATTGAAAAGTGCAATAAGAAAATTTGTAGCAATTATTTTTGATACTCTCTACCCAAAAATCTAAGGTATTCAAATAATTTTTTGATTATTAATTGAATTTCTTAATATAAATAATGAAAGTGATTTTTGATTTAATTATTTTCAGGTGTTTATAAAAATCAGCCTGGCAGGATCGAAGACTACACACCAGGTTGCAGTTCTTTGGCAGAACGAGAAACAAAACAGGTAAATATTCTAAATTTTATCTTGTTGGAAATAATCAGCAAATATTATTAAAAATAGTTTTGTGATCCGACCTAACGTTATTTTTACTCACAAAAAAATAAAACTTACTCATATATGCATTTCCATATATATTTTCATAACAACATTGAATCCATTACAAGCACTTATTAAACTAATATCAAAAATATATAATTATATTGACTTTTAATAACAATATTAAACTGAAACTTAATATATAAATTATTAGTTTTCACATAAGTCAGTAAATTTTTAAATATAAAAAAAATGGAAAGCCTTTGATTTTTTCGCCCGTTTTTATTTTTACCAAAATAAACCGAAATAGTTTCAGAATGTTTCAAAATAAGATATTTGTTATGATATTTACTGTAATAAAATTATTATGTAATTTTTATCTAAACCTATGTTTTTTCTCTTTTAGTGGTGGGATGAAGTAATGGACATATTTGACGGGGTACGAAATTTTTTTATTTATTTTTAAATACTTCATATACTATTTCCAAATTATTGAGTAATGCTATTATATATGGTGACGGTGATGCTTAAATTTGAAAAAAGAAATTAAATATTTTAAAAATAAAAAAGTAAAGTAAAATTATAACGAAACGAGTTTTTAAACAGACTAATATTATTTAATCTAAACGAAAAATATCAGGACAAATAAATTAAAAAATGTTTAGCCAGTCATTTCGATATATCCATCATTCCGAAAATAATTGCAATTACCATTGATATTTTAGCATTCATTTAACAAAAAGGCAGAACGACATACTTGTTAAATGCTATTAAAAAACAACTGAATATTATCTTAAATTTCTTCAAACAATCCTTCTGGTCAATAATGAGAAATAATTTTATTTAAATGGCAGCTTAGGCAAAAAACATTTGTTTAAAAAAACGTGTACTCAGTATTAAAAACAATTTTTAGAATGTTTACCAGTCTAAGTGATAAATTCCCACATGTGTATTAGCATTTGCATTTAGATTCTGACTATACTGGAGCACTTTTTAAATTTTGTGAAAATTATTGAAAAAAAAGTGGAAAAGCAGCCATCTAAGCACAGTATATTTCATCAAATATCTTCTTTCAATGGCAAATAATTTCATTTAAACTAGTTTTACTTAGGATTTTCTGACAATTACGTCGTTCTGCCTTTACCACATATACTATTACATTATTTTTTTACAATTTCTAATTAAATTTTTCATTTTATTTTTTCGTCGCCTCTCATGTTGCTGTACTGTACTGGTGAATGCTTCCTATGGTGTTGGAATTCCCTGTATATCGATGGATGTGTGCATAACAAAAAAAAAAAAAAAAACATAATTTTTTACATAAACCAAACTAAATGTGGGCTCTTTTTATTATAAATCATTCACCTAATATGCACGATTTTTTAATACATTTTTAAATACCTGCATGCTTGTTGCACTTGGAATTGAAATATATTTTTCGAATTTTAAAAATCGTGAACCGAAATTTTGTTACGTTCTACTTTTTTTCCAATGTGCGTTTGATATAAACGATATTTTTTGTTTTTTTTTTTGTTAAATTTTGTTGTGTTTTGAATTGTAAAATGATTTTTGTTACAAACTTTTTACAAAAATTGATACTCAACTTGGTTTACTTCATCAATTTGTATTCTGATTTTTTTTTTTTCAAAATGTTTATGATGAAAAATTTTGTTGCATTAACAATAATGTTAAAAATTGACATTTGGTCACAAAAATTAAAAAAATACCTTATTGTACCAAATTTTAAATTTTGTGGACCTGATAATTATTTTATTTAAATTATAATGAATTTTGTAAAACCTGTTTTATTATTTTATTTTTAAATCTGGTTTACAAAATGCAATTTTTATAATAATTTTTTTTTACATTTTGCACGCTTTTGTAATACCACAAAATGCATTATTATAAATTGCACATACAAATTTTTTCATAATATTTTTAAACTTTTTTTTATATATATAAATATTAGTGGTTAGATGATAATGATGCAAAACCGCATATAAATGCAATGCTATCCAGAACAAAACATATACCAGTAAGATACTATATATTTTAGGAAATGCAATACCGGTATACCGTTTGAAAAACCGGTATTTACTCTAAAAATACCGGTATTTTCGGTATTGAAACATAATCCTTAACTGAATTTGGGTCTCTCAAAACCATATAAAATTCATATCTAACAGATTTTTCTTTTGATCGTTCCTTTGTATAAACAAGTGTTAAAATAATTATAAGAAACAGTTTTTAAAGTTACATAATCACATATTCTCACTAATATTATATAATGATATTAAGTTGAGTTTTTTTTTTAAATTTATTATTAAAAACTTACATTTTGTTATTTAATTGTGTACATATATTAGTACAAGTTTTATTTTACATTTATAGAATTTTTATTTTCTAACTATCTGTAGTTTAGTTTTTTATATTTGTACAAGCAACTTTCAAGTTTATTTATATTTTTTTTAAAAAATATCAATACCGGTTTTAAGAGAGAAAATAGCAAAATACTGGTTTTAATTTTTATTTAAATTAATATTATTTATTTATTTCTTTATTTCTTTATTTATACGCCAATCGGCTTTATACAGTTTTATAATAAATTAATATTATTAAATTATATTTGTACAAATAACTCTTAAGTTTGTTCACATTTTGAAAAAATACATTAATACCGGTTTTAAGAAGAAATTTAAGAGAAAATACCGAAATAGCGGTTATAGAGAAATAACGGCTTTCAATTTTTATTTACATTAGATTAATTGTTTATATTTGTACAAGCAACTTTTAAGTTTGTTTACATTTAAAAAAATTGAAACCGATTTTAAGAGAGAAAATAGCAAAAATTTAAAGCGATTTTAAGAATGAAAATACCGAAATACCGGTTTAACAGAGAAGATACCGAAATACCGGTATAGGATTTTTTTTTATCGGTTTTGCATTTCCTAGAAGTAGGATTTGGTATAGCATGTTTTTTCTCTATTTTTACTTTTTCACTTTTTTAGATTTTTTTTACATTTAGCGTATGTATATAGCTTAAAAAATTACTTACTAAAGTATTGAAAATTTTAATTGTATGAATTATATTTGCAGCATCTCGAGCAGCAAAAATATGCGACGACCACCAATTCCAAATCTTATGGACATTTATCAAGGTGAGATAAAAAACTATTTTAAGTTAAAAATAAATGTTGAAAAAAGTACAGAAAATAAATTGATACAATGCTCATTATATGTACAAAAATTACATTTGATTCTAATTTGATTTAAATTGTTTTTTAAAAGATATATTTATTTCAACTCTTCCTTCAAAGAATAAAAATCAATAATTCAAACATAAATTTAATGTCTATTAGATGATATAAATTAACAATTTACTGTTTTTTGAACACCATAACGTAACTGTTTCTTTTTGGAATTAAAATCAGCATTGGTTTTTTAGTCGAAATCATACTGAATCAGGTTTACCAAATTTTTTGTAATTATTACAAGTACTTTTGTTACCAGTAGTCTTCAAGACCAGACTTTTCACCTAGATTTTTTTATTCTGGCATGTCCTCCAGGTCTAAAGAGTTTCACAAATGAAAAATCTTTTAGGTTCAAATAAAACAGAAAACTCTCCCAAATGAGAAATCCTCTTAGTTGTTTTTACTATAATAAATACCAGCATGTCCTTCTCCGTCTTTATTGCCTTTATAATAATAATTTATCAGCAACTGGGTTTTCCTTAGCATTTTCTCTGTTTTAGCATAAAAATCATTTGTTAGAGTCTTCAGATTTGAAGCCAAACTTTGGTTCCATTTACACAGAAGTAGGCTTGCCAAGTTCCTCCTCATTTGTACAAGCCTCTTCATTACCAATACAATCAGTTTTCTTAATATTTTTCTTAAATTTATCATGCAAACCTTTCAATTCCTGCATGTCCTTCCCCAAATCCAAAAACTCTCCTAAATGTGAAGTTTTTTTAGTGTCTTTATAATAATAATTTACCAGCAGCTGGGTTTTTCTTAGCATCTTCTATGTTTTAGCATAAAAATCATTTTAGTCTTTAGAGTTGGAGCTAAACTTTGGTTTGGCATTTACACAGAAGTAGGTTTACCAAGTTCTTCCTCATTTGTACAAGTCTCTTTATTACCAGTACAATCAGTTTTCTTAATATTTTCCTTAAACTTTTCATCCAAACCTTTCAATTCCCGCATGTCCTTTCCCAAATCCAAAAACTCTCCCAAATGGAACGTCTATTTATTGTCTTTATAATAATAATTTACCAGCAACTGGTTTTTCCTTAGCATCTTCTCTATTTTAGCATAAAAATCATTTGTTAGAATCTTTAGATTTGAAGCCAAACTTCAAAGAAGTAGGCTTACCAAGTTTTTCCTCATTTGTACAAGCCTCCTTATTACCATTACAATCAGTTTTCTTAATATTTTTCTTAAATTTCTCATCCAAAACCTTTTAATTCTCGCATGTCCTTCCCCAAATTCAAAAACTCACCTAAATGTGAAGTCTTTTTATTGTTTTTATAATAATAATTTACCAGAGGCTGTTTTTTTTTAGCATTTCTCTGCCTCAGCATAAAACTCATTTGTTAGAGTCTTCAGATTTGAAGCCAAACTTTGGTTTGGCATTTACACTGAAGTAGGTTTACCAAGTTCTTCCTCATTCGTACAAGCCTCCTTGTTACCAGTACAATCTTCAAAACCAGTTTTCTTAATATTCTCCTTAAATTTCTCATCCAAACCTTTCAACTCTGGCCGGTCCTTCTCCAAATCCAAAGACTCTCCCAGATGTGAAGTCCTTTTATTATCCTTATTATTATTAGTACCAGATGCTGCATCCTCCTTAGCCCTTCGGCTCTGTCTCAGCATAAACCCCAATTCACTATCAGGCAGATCCATCAATTTTTCGATACAAGTATTGAGATAAGAGTATTTGCCTACAAAATAGCCTACGGTGATGGCTACCAAAACTTTGGGTGTAGGTCCCCAGATTTTGTTAGGTTTTAGGTACCCATTTCTCACGGCTTTGTAGGTTAGGAAACTAAGCATCGTGGATAAGGGTAGACTTCGAAAATAGAAGCTCTCGTAGTCGCATTCCATCAAAACTCTGATTTCATCCTCATTGAATTCATAATTTATGCCTTTGGTGAAAACTTTTTCCATCTGGTTTCGGTCGCTATTTGGAGCAAATGACCAAATGTATCCTCCAGGGAAAAAGGACTTCATATTTTGTACGAAGTGGTAGAAGTTTCTCATTTTGGATTAAATGTTCATTTTCAAGGTTTTTGGTGGTAATAGTTTTCTGGGTGTCTAGTTTATTTTATCATATTTTGTGAACAGGAGATTTGGAATAAGTTATTGGTGTTTACATTTTGAATTTTATTAAAAACGTATTTTTTTTGTAAATTTTATGTTAGAAAAATGACACATGTCAAATTTTGTTTTTAATATGGCGAGCAATTTTATTGGATTTTGTAAAATAATTTTTTTTGGCAGTACTGCTTGCAACTAGCAACTATCAACTATTACCCAATTGCAATTTATCATATGAAAATTAAGTGTAACTAGTGGTGTATGGCATCGTGCCTTAAGAAAAATTGCTGGAACTTCCCGTACCGTAATGAAATATTTGAGAAATTTTAAACGTTTTCAAATATAATATTACAAATACTGCAACTTTCATTATTCTTGCTATCCAGTTATATCATCTGAGCAAATCAAATGTAAATCATTAATTAATTTATCTCCAACATTAACAAACGTCATTTCATTTAGAATTCAATTAAAAAAAAAATAGTTGCCTAATTTGCACAAAATTGAAAAAGGGCGCCCGTATAGTCACAGTCTAAACGCATTTGCAAATTATTCTGTGAGACATTTTTACTTAGACTGTGCTTAGCTTGGCGGCATTTTCACATTTTTCAATAGTTTTCACAAAATTGGAAAAGTTCTCCAGTACATAAACAGTCTAAACGCACTTGGGTAAACATTTGAACCAGAGTGGCGCTCAGACTGTGCTTAGCCTGGATAATTTTTTGAATTTTTAATCCAAAATTACAAAAATATTTTATGGAAAATAAATAAATATATAATAATTTTTTATTCTCAAAAGCAATTGTTTTGTCAATACAAGCAGAAAGTTTTTTAGATCATTGAAATCGGACGCTTAGTTCACTCAAAAACTGCCATTTTTTGTACATTTAGCTCGATATCTCCAAAACGGATGTACCTGCCTTTGCCAAAAACTACTCATCATTTCTCCCCATCATTACAAATAGAATGCTTTTTAGATCATTCAAATCGGATACTCCGTTCTCTCATAAACTCGATTTGTACTTTCTGCACTCTTTGCTCCGTATCTCCGTAACGGCTGGACCTGTCTTTCCCAAAAACTGATCAGCACATCTTCCCATCAATAGAGATCGAATGTTTTTTAAACCATTCAAATCGGTTGATGCGTGCGCCCGAAAACGTGGACGAAAAATTGCGGACACATAAAACACAAACACATAAATTTTGTCTGAGTTATGCCAAAATGTTCAGAAACCTCTGAAACGTGAAGATATGCAAAAATTTCAATTAATATCTGTTAGGATCGGAGAAATATCTTATAGGAATAAATTAACATCTTTTAACATTTTTGTCTGCCTGCTTGTTGGTTTAGACTAATTTCCTAAACGCCTGGACCGATAAATCTGATTAATCTCAATTATCATTAATTATTATCCCAAAGTCTATGCAACTTGCCTCAAGGCAAAATCCTAATTTTTATCATTTATCCTTTATCTTTTCAGGGCTTTGCAAGAACAAGGTTACGAAAGCGATTCCCAATTACTAAGACGCCGAAATGGAGAAATGTCGTCACCAGCTGCTCCTCTAAGTCCTCCTCAGCAACGGGAGGCCTATAGAAACCTCCAGGCTGGAGGCGATGCTCCTATACAAGGATTCCGAAAACCTGCTCCTGAGCGCCCGAAAGGTGAGTGAATAAAAAAAATTACTGCTTTTTTGTAGTTTGGTTTTTGGAGTAGAAGTGGTGTGAGATAATTAATAGTAACTTGTCTTAATTCTTATTGATCAAGTATATTATGGGAAGTTCAAGCTACTTAGAAAATACTCCAAGTTAAAGTGTTCGTTAGTTTTCAATTATGTGTAATAAATTCACTCGGAATACTTTTAATCACTCATAAATTAATTTGTTTATTATTGATGAAGTCGATTATTTGCACATATCGGGCAGTTCATGAAACTTGCCTCAAGGCTAAATATCAACACCAACTAGTATATTTCTAGTCAGAGACGACTATATTCGTCAATTCACAAAATTCTGTCCCTGCTCTATGACGAGTATAAATTGGTCAATATTGTTAAAATTGAAAGGATTTATTAAACTCTGCTGCCATGCAAGGTTTTTCAGAGCCCAAACTGTTTACAACAGTTTTTGTAACCTAAATTAATGTCCTAAGATTAAGATTGTCCTAGAATTTAGGTATTTAAATTTATCTCAAACGACAATTTTGTCAGAATGTAGTTTAATAGGGCATTTCTGCCTCATAAAATAGTATTGTCATGGCAACGCTATCTTATTCTATTTTCTTAATAGTGAAATTGTTTATATCTGTTTGCCGTGCGATCAGGCGCATTTTACATATAAACAAGCAAGAAAGAATCTCATGATAACAGAATCTACGATGATGCTCAAATACTAAATCGCATTTCAACTGCAATTTGTACAAAATTTCAATAACCAGGTATATATAACAGTTTTTACTAAATTTTAGTAAATTTCATCTTCTTTTTACTAATGTATATAAAATAAAGTGTCCCAGACAAAATTTCTAAGATATTGTCGAAAATGTAAAAAAAATGCACTTCGACGATGCAGTTATCAAAAGATTCTTCCTTGCTTTGTTTATATGTAAAATACGCCTGATCGCACGGGAAATAAATAGACTTTTTTACAGTTTCACTAACAAGAAACAAGCGTAAGATAGCCTTGCTCTCTTAGTTTACGTAATACACTTTTTAGGAGTTCACAAATTTTACCTGAAGTTTTATAAAAATCTATGAATGTACTATGCTGTGCTAACTTTATCGTACTGATATATTACTAACTTTTGTTAAATGTTATAACAAACTGCAGTGATACTTGATTAACCAAGACTTCAGAAGATTTTTCCTTACAAACATTTCCAATCTTAAAATTACTAAACAAATAGTTTGTTTTCTTTGACAAGTCTTTGTTAATCAACTATCACTGCATAAGTTTGGGAACTTGTGGTCTAATCTGTGGACGAAGGTGATTAACAGCAAAAAAAGGTTTGTGCTAATTTTTTATACTGCATGTCTCACCAACAAAAATGTAAAATTTTTAATTTATTGACCGCATAACAGACAAATGTTATGGCAAGGCTATTATTTTTATACTGAATATTGACAAAAACCATGCCGTTGCTTTGCAGTCAGGCGTATTTCTCAGGTTGTCAGATAGATAATCTAACCTAGAAACCGCACATGTCAAAAAACGATGTTAGATAACAGGGTGTTTCTGACTCAGCTTCATAACATGCGAGTGACGTTGCAGTTTATGTGTAAAACGCTTGAATGCACAGCAAATACATGACATTTTTGCAGTATTCAGTATTATTCAGTAGCATGATACATGAAACATGGTCTTGCCATAACATTGCAACAAAATCAGTCCCTTAGTCTTCTTTCTATAACAAATCTTGTACAAAAACTAATTATTCACACTTAATCATTTTTTGATATTACATTTCATACAACCATAGCAAAAATTTTAAAATTGTTTTAATTTATATCAAATATAAAGCACTAGAGAAAATTTCTGGGAATTTTAAATTTAAAAAAATATTATAACACAATTACTTCTACGTCAAAAATGTAGATGCCGCCAGTATATTTTATAAGCAATTTTTTAGCTGATTTGTTAATTTTGCTAAAAATTTTTTACTAAGGAGGCAATTCTACATCATAAGATAGCTTTGTTATCTTATGTTTGTTTTTTGTTACTGAATATGTAAAAATATCTATCTAATTGCCGTGCGATCAGGCGTATTTTACATATAAACAAGCAAGGAAGAATGTTATGATAACAGAATCTTTGATGAGGCAGTTATCATAAGGTTCTTTCTTGCTTTTTGTAGATAGACATTTTTAAAGTTTCACTACCACTAAACAAGCATAAGACAATGCATTTTTATGAGACAGAATTTGCCCTAAATTTTTATATCACAAGTTTAAGTAGTTCTTACGATGACCAATTGGATAAAACTGTAGTACAATTTTTAAAAAATGATTTGTACCAATTTATCCAATTGTTACCATCAGTATCACAATTTTAGGCACAATTACAAGCACAGAGTGAATTATTCCAAAAAGCACAGAGTGTCAACAAAAATCTAATTAGTCCCACAAGTGTGTTTGTGCACCAAACGGTGACAGGTTCTCACAAATTTTTAGCATTATCTAAAAACTTGAACAATTATCAACAGAAGAATATCCAACAAGGATTAAAGTGCACGGAAGATCCAAAAGAACCCACAACAGCATCGTGTATTGTTATCCAATCACCAAAGTTCCTGAACCGCCAAAAGCAATTTTTGAAAAGTACGAGAGACAATCTAGGAGGACCACAAGGTCTCTATCGAATCCACCAACAGTTCCTGATAGAAAATCGTCGAAAACTAATAGTGTTTTAAGACTATACTCCTCGTCTGGTAAGGAACCAAGTATAAGTCCTAGGCACCACATGTGTTTCCACACCCCTGAAAGTCCTAGTAAGTTATCACCAAAAAGCACCAGAAAATCAGTGGCTTTAAGACAAAGCAAATCCACATCAGATATTTTAGCCAGGAGATCTTTGGCTAGAAGTTCAGTAAATCGTTCACCTTTGTCTCCAAGAAGGAGCACTCCGAGTCCTGTAGCCTTTGGCAGAAGTTTCCAACCAAAGCCTGAAGAAAAAAAGAAACTGCACGCTTCTTACAAAGACATCACTGGTCGATTAATTAGGAGTCCTGATTTGGCAGCTCCTAAAGTCGTCAAAAAGGTACAAGATCTGAGCAAACCTAAAACCAACAAGGCGCACTCGGTTAAAAGCACCAACGCCTTATACTCTTCTGTAAAAAATGGTAAACACAAGGATGAAAAATCGTTGAAAGTCACTGTTGCTATTTCTGCACGCGGTAAGGAGCTTTTGAAGGCATCAGCAGATACCTCAAAGTTGGGTAAAAGTGCCACAAAACCTGCAACAAGCAAGTTGTCAACGGGTAAAGTTAAAACTGGTAAAACCAACCAAGGTAGTAGCAGTTCCCTGGCTAAAAAGTCTGCGAGTGATAGTTGCAAGAAGACCAAAAGTACGGGTATTTGCAAACCTGTAACAATTTGTAAACCAATGCCTCCGCCGACAGAAATCATCATAAACAAACCCAAGTTGGAAGACAAATCCAGCAAAAAGTGTGCACAAAGTGACTACAAATTTACTGATCCCAAAGACGTGATGAACTACCTCACCAATGGTTTTGAGCACGCACAATTCGGCACCCTGGACGATTTCGCCGAAGAGCACATCGGTAAATCAGACAACTTTTTCCAAAATCTATTCCTGCGAGACTTGTCACCGACACCATCCCTTGCTAGTAGTTACAGAAGCACTTCAGTTTTGGAAAAAGCCAGAATGTTCAACAACGCTTTTTACAAATCTGAAACTCCCAACAAAATTTCAAGTACGTACCTGGCACACAGACGACCAGTTTCTGAATCTAGATTCAAAACTTGGGACAGAGATTTGATGTATAGATATCGTGATATGTCTTGGCCTGGTAGTTATGTCTCAGACCAAGTGGAAAAATTTGATAGCCTGCTTTTTGTTGAAGACAGGGATAGGGCGTATAGACCTTGCAGTCCTGAAATCAACGAAATGATGAGGATTCGTAGTGCAAGTGAACCTCCACCAAAAGTTGTGCTGACTGAAACTTCTAGGCCAGTTTCTCCACGATCTAGATCAATTTCACCTGTCAACATGTCGAGGTCACCAGCTTGTAGACGGATTCACAGTGCAAGGAGAAACGCTATTTGTGATAAGATTGCTAAATTAAGTCGAGCCAGAAGTGCTGGTGAGGCTGATAGATACACTACCAAATCTGATCATGATTTGTACAACGAGTACATCCACGATGTGATTAATAAAGGATCCAGATCTGATAGATTTAAGGAGCTCAACAGGTTTTACGAAAATTTGGAACGTGTTGGTGAGTTAGAAAGAGCAACTTCTACAAGTGATCTCAGGCCCAGAAGACGTGACGAAGAAGTTATAGACTACGATCGTTGGAAGTCTTTACGAGCTAAAGAAAAGGCAGAACTGGAACTCAAGTTGCTGTACAAAAAATTGTACACTGACCAAAAACAAAAAGACTTCTTGTTCCGTCCCAAAGACTGCCAGTCCTTGAAATGGCACAGTGAATTGGACAAAGGTTTGCGCAGCAAAGAAAAATCTGTTGAGGATCTCAAGGAGCACTTCAAAAAACTTGTAGACGAAGAATCAGATTTAGAAAACTTTCGCAGACGTGACTTGAATATCAAAAAAGACATCTACAAACCTTTATGGCGTGGTAACTCTGTGGTCAATCTTGCTTCGAGCATGGTACAAAAACGTAATCCTGGGCAAACTTCTTTGAACGATAACATTGGTTTCCATGGTTACGAGTTAAGCAGTCGTTTGTGGAGCAGTTTATCATCAGAACAAGTCAACAAATTAAAAAACCAACTTACAGAAATCTACAGCACGAACGTCCCTGGCAAAAAAGATGCAGTAAAACAAGACTTTGTGATAAATGTGCCACCTAAAAGCAAGTGCACGCCCAATAATTTGATTGTGAGATCCAGTTCTTTGTTGTCAGCTAATCAAATTTCCAAGCCTGATTTGAAATATAGTTACAAGGCTGATTCCATAGGTTCTATCAACACCGTGTTGAAGTCTAAAAGTGATACATATTTATCAGAAAGTGAAAAACGTAGGTTGTCACAAAATTTAAGCAAAGAGGTTATGACTAAAGTTGCAAGTAGACGTAACCAAGCTGTCTTGGTTTTGCCGAAAGAGACTTTAGGAGCTTTGGCAGCTGCTAATACAGGTTTAGGACCAAGTTCACCTTTACCAGATACTCCCAAAAAAATTAGAAGTCAAAAAAACTGATGCTACAATTTTGGAGCACAGGAGTTCTTGTATCAGTGAAACTGAAAGTGCAAGTTCTGATGCATCCAATAACACAGTTATATTCAAGGGCGAGCAGAATTCTGATACTGTACAATCGAAAGTGGATTTTTTTGAGAAAGCCAAGATCAAGAAAATTCCTGGCGCGGTAATACATGTGCCTAGGGACCCCACACCGCCAGATAGTCCGCAAGATGAGAATAAAAATACTATTGTTGCAAAATATAATGGTGAGGAAACAGATGAAGTAGATTATCCTTGTTACTCTGGTTCAAGTTTGGAAAGTCTGGTCATGAGTCGGAGTCCTTCACCAAATCCTGAGAAGTACTGGAAAGCTTACATGAGCCTGGTACGTGCAGGTGAGGTTAGGAAATTAAAACGCAAGTTTGAACAAGATGATTCAGACTCGTATCCACTAAGGCGTATAAGGTCAGATCCAGAAATCACCAGGAACATTTTAGCCAAAGATTTTGTGAACAAAGATAAAGTCCAACATTTGACTTGGAGGTTTGAGAACAAAAACCCTACGTGGGCGCCCAAGAAATATTTCACCCATACCCAAGATTCCTTTAAAGCCCAAAGCCATGCTAATGCCCAGAATCAACGTCATAAGTAAAATGGCAGCTCTAAAACGGGAACAAAAAACAACACAACCCTCATTTGGCGAAAAAAAGCGCATAGCTTCCCTATACGGTTGCAAATACGGCGAAGTCGACAAATTGCGTGAACACTTCGAAGTGCAAAACCTGTCTATGATGGGACGTCTATACACGTCAGAACCTGACGTCCGAGAACTTAAAGACATATCACCATATCTGATGGGTTCCTGGTACGCTCACAAATACCCTAAAAAAGAAGACAATTCTGACAAAGGCATCGATGTACCTTTGAAAACTACAAAACGAGTGCGACCAAAATCAGAATCGCCTACCAGAAAACAAACTGATGGTACCAAAAGCTCAATTTTGAAGTCTAAAAGTTCTTCTCAGGTTGACAAATTTAAAGGACAAGTTTTTGACCCTAGTATTCACAGGCCCAGGTTCAGGTATCAGCCTGAAGTGCCGGAGAAGAGATCTTGGTCGTGTTCGCCTGTGAGACCTACTGTTACATTTAAAGGTGATAGATGTAAAAATAATTATGTATATTTTTAGCACGATAAAAATCGGATTTTGTTTAACGCACGCATATGGTGCGTGCCGCACTTGAAAATAGTGTTTTTAGTGATTGATTTTAAATTTTGAGCAGAAACTTGATGACTAAAATACGTTTTCACAAATATAATTAGGAAATATTTTTCAAAATTGGGCTAAAAAATTTGTACTGGATTTTTTTTTGGAAAATAAAGGGATAATAATTTTATTTCTGAAAATCTAGTACCAAAATTTTTCCGTTTTTTGCAAAAATTTAAATATTATGCGATTTTTACTGATTTTATTTGCCAAACTGCATTTATTTTATTTAGACTGGACAGAAAATATCTCTGGGTTTTTTATATATGTATATATATATATATATATATATATATATATAATATATATATATAAGGGTGGTCTTTAATATGGCAATTTTGGAATTTCTTTGCTCCCAAAGACTCAAATGCTTCCAAATTAATAAACGAAAATTCTCTAAAAGTTTTAGCTCTTAATATTAACATTTAGACAGTCCGCATTCAATTAAAATTTTCGTATATTATTACCATATATTCTTGCGCCATCTGTGATAGCATCCGTAAACTCAAATATTATGACACTTAAAAATATTTATAAAACACTTGACCTGTAAATAAATCTATGTGGGCTGTTTAATGAAATATTTATTCAAGATTAATTTTGCACCAAAATATTTATTTAATTGGTGATTTTGACACTCAAATTATCAGTCCACATTCACAGATGGCGCAAGAATTTACTCACAAAACTTTTAATTGAATTGCGGACTATCTACACGTTAATATTAAGAGCTAAAATTTTCAGAGAATTTTTTTCTATTAATTTGGAAGCATTTGAGCTCTTGGGAGCAAAGAAATTCGAAAATGTCCTTATTAAGGTCCACCCTTACTTTATTTTTTGTGCTTGATAATCTTCGATATAAATTAAAACAAACTCAAAGTTTCATACAGAAATCATACATTATCATAATTTTTTGTCATTTTTAAGATACTAAACTTCAGTTTTTTTGGTTTTTTGGATTTTTTTGCATAATTTTTTTTTTTTTAATAAAGTTTGGAGCGTATGTTTTTTTTGAGTTACCTAATTTTAATTAACTACTAATTAGACTTTTATACACAATTTTATAATAGTTATTTAGAAATTATATAATTTTAAAAGATATTGTACGTGGAAAAATTATTTTTGTAGATATTGTATGTAAAAATCACAAATACAAGAGCATAATAATTTATGGATAAACTCAAGAAATAGAATAATAATTCAAAAAAAAATTACGGTATTTTTTTTTATTTTTTTATTTTGTACGGATAATTACGCCTAGACTTGTTTATTCCAAAGCAAATTTTTATATATATAAAACACATTTTACAAAAAAGTTGACTTGGTTGTATACGCATTGGGCGTAATTTTTAATACTCAAACAAAACAAATAAAAGCACTTGTTAATAATGTTTTGAATAATAATTGTGCTTAATTGTAATTTGCATGAAATCCAAAAAATATTGTTTGAAAAACAAATTATTTGTACTTTAGTCAATAAATATTTTTATTTTTAAAATATCATTATGTAATTTTTATGTTATTTTATAGTTATTTAATTCAAATCAAATCGAATAACAAAATCTAACTCTTGTTTCTGTGACCCGTCGTACATAAAAAATTCCAAACTTTTCTATACGTCTTTGCAAAATATTTTAGTTTTATAATTTTTATATCATTTTCACAAGCATTACACATACATAGTTCATTATTATTATTTATCTCATACACCCCTGTGTAGACCCTGAAGTGCCTCCACCGCCGCCACCAAAAGGCCAGCCAATTGGAGGACAATACAGACCAGGTGGGTAGTAGTAAAAAAATTATTAAAACCAAAAATTCCTTAAAAAATAATTCATTAGTTTCAAAAATTTCATTAGATTTGTGTGTTTGTGTATGTTGTAGTATTAGATAAATGTTTTACAAATGTTGTATGTTAAAAACTTTAGTCAATGACGCTGCTATATCTGGCTCGAGAATGATTTAATTCATAAAGTAGTAGTTGTCGTTAATATTTTTGTTTCGTTTTTTTCCCAAATGAAATTAGAAGAAAAAACATGAATTTGTTCTTTAATAATTATGATTATTCGGTGTGGGAAAGTTGTGCACGTCATTGGAAGACGTTACTCTATTGTTTTGTGTTTTTTCTGCGTTCAGTTTCATTTCAACTCGGATGGAAAATAGTTGAATTATTCGAATTAAACGAGAGATATGGAAAAAATATGTAGAAATGTTGAAAAGATTGATTTTAGAAAAAATCTTGTTAAAATGTGGTGATGACAAAAGATACTGATTTTTAAAAAAAAGTGTTCGAATTTTCTTGTAAATAATTATGACAAAGTACGTTCAAATAAAAAAAGTAAACAGTAAAAAGTGTTACTGTTATAAAATCGAATGTGGTAGACTTATTTTTCAACAATTTTTGCTTGAGTATTATCTTAAATTTCTTGAGATTTTTCATTTTTTCCCTTTGCCCAAAAATTGATTTGAATAATAATACAAATTTAGCATGTCTAACTTTTTTGGATTAAAATTTATAAAAAGTTCACGATATTATGATTAATTGATATCAAGCAGCATGATTGATATACAAAATTTGTGTAAATTATTAATTTATCATAATTAAATATTATCATAATATTTGTAAGTAAATTATGACCAAAATTATTCAACCATTTTAATAATACTAAATTTATCAAGAAATTTAAATTTATCAAAAAAAATGGTTTTAATGAAGATTTTTTTTTGGTATTTGAAAGTACTATTTGAAGTATAATAGTTTTCATGCAAACTCAAAATTTCTGAAAGATTGTCTGCATAGTCTTTGTACTGATATCTTGGTTTGGAATTCGATATACCTAGTACATTTTTTTATTTTATCGCGGGTAACTTCCAAACTATTTGTTTAATATAAATAGTATATTCTGCAAATTTATTTAAAATTAAATTATCTACATTATTGTCTAACATCATTTAGTCCTACAGCAACTCGGTATACTTTAAAACGCATTTGAAAACATACAACTTTGCCTACGCCTTTATTGTTGAGATCTTGTATTGTAAAAACGGCGGCTGCAAAGTTGTATGTGTAAATACTTAAAGTATTGTACTAATGTAGTATTCATGCCCATAACTTTAAAACCATTCGTTTAGCATTATTTGTGTATATGACAAATTTGTTTAAAATTAATCAATGTATAAACTTTTCTAATGATACAACACTCTAGAGCGACTCGATATACTTTAAAATTGCAATTGAAACCTGACAAATAATCTGACTATTTAAGGATACTCTTTCAAGGATTTTCTGCATTTAAATTTAACGTTTTAAAAAATAATTTTCACCCTCAGTGAACGAGTGCAGATAATTTTTATTCTCATAATTATTATTTGGACTTTGAACGATCACAACTTGTTTACTAAACTTTGCACTTAAAAATATTTCATTACAATAAACAAATATAAATATAAATATAAATATTTATACAATTCATAGAAAGCGAAAAGACCTTCACCTTAGTATATAAAACCAGAGTAAACCTAGTTTTGCAATTTATTTTTTAGCAAATTTTTATTATTCAGTAATGCAAATGTATTTAGTTATGAATGATTCTATATTCTTTGTTTTCTGATAATTGATAAGAGGCCCTACCTTATCGCAAATATTAAATTCTCGGTATGATAAGCTTGCAAAAAATTTTGCAAGAGCAATTAGTGCTAAATTAGACTTGTGTGTAATGTATTGTGTTGTGTAGATTTCCATATTAGTGATGATGTTTTAAGAAGAAACATAATAGCAAAGTTTAAATTATGTTTGTACAAGTGTTTAAAAATTTAGTGTCAGCAAAAAATAGAAGTGTCCTAAATATAAAATTTTCCATAATAAATATTGCTCAAGCTTTATATTAAAAAATCGTGAAAAATTATTAAAATTTATATGTGCTAACAAGGAGGTTTATAGTTATAATATTTTGCTGAAACTTTGCATAGTGATAGAGTCGATAGTCAAACCAAATCCGTTAAAATATTATAGGCCTGTGAGTTTATATATTATATTTATATATTAAAATTAATTAAAGTGGCAAAAAATACCCCACGCGCATAGTAAAAAGTAACTTTATTGACTTCTTTGTTTTTGCTATTATATTTCAAATCCCTTGCGTTTCAGACAACCTGATATCAAGCAGTTATTATATATTAGTTAGTGGAAATAGTCCTTCATTGTTAAAAAATGGGCAAAATCTGGATTGTATGCTTATAAAGAAATATATCGAATACATAGGACAACCTATCGTTGAGAAGAAATATCATTACCAAGAGCAATTTTCAATAAATTTTTAGAATTATTTTATAACAATTATTTTTTTCTTTCAATTTTGCAACTACTTGACCCCAGGCCGGATTTCCGCTGACGTGATTGGCCGAGCGAAACGGCCATTGACCAATCGTGTTAAAAGATTCTGACTCATCATCACGAAGTTGTAAAATAATAACAATATTTTATTTAAAATATAATAATAAATTTTTATATAATAACTATTATATCTTTTAATAACGATCTCAACAAGAATTAAGGATTTTTTCAACCAGAACATGAGACTGGTGTTTTTTTTTTTGGACATTTTGGTGAACATGGTTTTGTAACCATTTTTTTCAAATTGGTGGTTAAAATTAGTACAAATTGACATTTATTAATTTTTATAAAATGTGGTTCTTCTAAAGCAAATTCCGGTAAAAAATCTAACAGTACAATTTCATTTGAAGTACAATTTCTTTTGGAGCAAAAATTGGACTTCCTAGTAAAAATTGAGGCAGGATTTTCTTTTAAGGGATTTTCCATTAATTACGTGAGGCGTTTAGGGGAAGGGGTTTGACAAAAAAAAAACATGAAAAATCACGAAAAAGAGAGAGGTCTAGTAAGATATCAAGTGTATTTATTTTTTGCTATATTTTTTCAAAAAAAATTCCAAACATTTTCAAAAAAAATCTAAATTATTACCATTTATTCCTGTAACTAAAAATGGACGTGTGTGTTTGAAGGGGAAGGAGGGGTAGTTTTGAATATCTAGTATCGCCAAGGGAGAGAAAAGGTCCAAAATTCCTAAAAAAATCGATCACGTGACTGATGGACGCCCCCTAATTTTACGTAAAGCAATTTTTTTTTATTGGTACAAATTGGTTAAATTTTGTCAATTTGGACTAACTAGCTTAAAAAAGTAAAGAAAAAGAATTGCTAATTTGTAACATCATCTTGCAATTTTTGGCACCTATAATAAAATTTAACTAGTAGTGTCTTAATGCAAATTGCTGGAACTTCCAGTACCGTAATTTAAAGCTTGTAAAAGCTCATAAAAGCAAATCGATTTTTTTGAGAAATTTGATTTTTTTTAACTTTTTTAAAAATGTTGAGAGTATTTGGATAATTTGGATATTGAAAAATAAGCTTTTTTGAATTTACTGCTAATTTTTGAAAACGTGAACTAACTAGTTTTTTTTTTAATTTTTTGTTTCAAAATTTTGGAATTTTTTGAAAGTTTTTGTAACTCCTCATATCAGTTGATTCTTCACACCCATTTTTTCTGCGGTATGCCAAAATGTTCAGAAACCTCTGAAACTGAATTTTATTTGTGTAAGAAAAGCTAAAGTGAAATTATTTAATCTTGAAATAGTTTCTAGAAATGTGTTATTAAATTATTATAAACAGTTTCAAAGACAAATTTGTGTTATAAAATGTATTAGTGTAGTGTAAACCAGTAATTTTGGAGTGATTTTTTATGTAAAAGTGATACCCAGGACAAAATGGCTTCAGAAAAAGTCATCCAAAATGGACATAATAATTTTGCTACAAAGGATGATAAAATGAAGAAAATTCTACCGATGATTTATTGCCCAAAACCTTACAGTCAGTATTACGATATATACATATATAAATTATAGTTGTAAATAAAAAATTGTGATTGTTTCTTATGTCTGAAAATTTGTTCATGTCTTCTGTTTTTTCATAAATATATATATATATATATATATATATATATATATAATATTTGATAAAATTACGATAAAAACACAATTCTTGGAAAAAACATACAAAGAATAATTTAACAGGCAATTAAAAATGAATTTGGTTGCTTGAGAAAAACAGAAACAAAATGTTACACATGGAAAATATTTACTCATAATTTATGTTATATATATATATATATATATATATATATATATATATATAAAGAGACAATAATAAATTGTAACCTCTTGTTACTTGTCAAGAAAATTTCTTAACGCAAATTAAGGTTTCGCGAAAGTTAAAGAGAAATTATTCGCAGTAACATAGATAATATAATTACAATCTGCAAATAACAACCAGTTAATTAGTTCTTGACAATTTAAACAAATGATTTAGAATGACTTGAAACGTCTAATAAACGTTAAAAATAATCGATATGGATTTTTTGGCAAAACATTAGATTTTTTTGGGGGAAGTTTATTAAGTAATAAACAGATGCGTTCGATAAACAGATTCGTTCGATTTTCTTGCACTGAAGAGTGGTGTTTTTAGTAAATAAAAATTTTGTACTGCAATTATTTCAAACAAAACAAAGATTGTCCTAGGCTTCCTATTTTGGAACATTTTTTAGCTTAGGGAGTAGTATAAGCAACACAAGCTTAGCAGTGAACGTGTTATTTTTTTTTTTAATTTAAATAGATTTATTTTTCCAATTTGTATGTCGGGTTTAATATTTTAAATTATTATGATTGCACGAAACGTGTAATTGCAGCCAAAGACAAGAAATAAAAGAGTAGTAG